TATCTATAGAAAACCTATCTAAGTATAAGTATTATAGAACCTTTTTTCTACAGATTAATTAGATACCGCTCTCTATATATAGAAGAACAAACCGATAAATAGTTCCATGTTTAGGACTTTTGTTTATAGAAGTCTTATAGAAATTCTTCTATTTGTGGATAACATATAGATTGTTTTATATTTAGAGAAGACCTGCAGAAGGTCTTCGATTTATTGGCCTTCTTTTATCTATTCTAGAATGTCTATCTAAGTATCATATACAATATAGAGATGACATAGATTTGGCATTCTATATATAGAAGAACAAAAAAGATCACTAGTTTCCAGTTTCATCTATTACTCACACTGGAAATTTTATTTTATTTTATCAATATTGTACTCAGTACGGATTGATGTATGACCATGTGCTATGTTGGTGTCGAATTCAAATGAGCTGGAACTAAAACAGCAATCGACCGTCTGTGTCTTCGAAGAAGAGTCAAATCTATTCATGGAAGAAACACTTTGAAGCAAATGGTGGCCTAATACTTTGTCAAATGCTGGTCCTGTGTCGATTGTTCTGCTTGAGCAACATAGAACATTCAATTCTGGGTGGTACACCATAATTTCATTGTCAGAAGTCCCTATAGAAAATCGGAGAAAAACACACCGTCTTTAAAATCATCTGCCGTAGAGCTTTGGCCCAAAAAATCAACAATATTCGTTGCCAGAACGTCCTGTTGGAGCTTTTAAAAAAACCATTTTTTCAGCGCATGAACAAGTGTAAAAATCACGCTGGAGAACAAAAATCTGCAGAATTTTTACTATATGAAAAAAACCTTTGAAGATCCTTTGTGAATAGAAAGTCTTTTGTTCATGGAAAATCTATAGGTTTTGTTAATATCTACAATATATACATATTATATTTAATTCCACTTTATGGCACCTCATAACGGAACCCACATAACCATACACACACAAAAATACAACAACAACGCAAAATTTAATAAATTCCACGAAAGAAATGCAATAAAATTATAGAATTTGCTATCGGTCGTTAATAGAGTTAATGTCCATTAAAAGTACTTTACCTTAATGCGGCCATATACCGATTTGCGTTTTGTATGCTTCGAATAATATACTAATGTTGAAGGTCCAAGGTTGGTGACACGACCACCACCAGCAACACCACCACCACAGCCGTAAGCAACTTTAAACAATGTCCTTTGACCCAACACCCACACTTGGGTTGAGAACATTGTCTGGCAAATGAATATAAAAAAAGTCCGTTTCTTGAATTCGGTTGAACTACATGCGAGCTACTGGCGACTGGCGCCACTTGATGTCTTCCGAAAAGGGGATAATAAAATGGAAAATAAGAAATTCACTTGTTCACAAACAAACACACACTCTCTCGCGCACACCCGTGGAGAACAAAGGACTTTCGTTGGAAGGATTTTTATTTGGCAAACTTTTAGTTGAGCATGTTTTCTTTTTTTTTTGTAAAACGATAGAGAGCAAGAGAGTAAATAAGAAGTCGTCTAATTCAGAATAGTTTATAAAATCAATACATTGTTTTTTATTTATTTTTTTGATTTCTCTCGAACTTGTTTTATTGGTTCTCTTGTTTCATTGTAGCTTTACGATTGCGTTTTTTGGAACATTAAACAAGTATTTATTTTTATTTTATTTATTTTTTTACAATTTCACATATTTTCATTGCTTTGTTATAGAAAAAAACACACAGAAAATTTGTTGTTGCTATGTCCTTGATGTCACCACTCTTGGAGTTATTTATGTGTGTCCTTTTTCTTTGTTTGATGTTAATGCGATTTCCAGCTAAACCATTTCAACACGCAAGGACTTGATTATATGATTGCGTGCACATCAAGAGAATCGGCGCGGGACTTTACATATTCGACCGATTGTAATGTACTCGAAAACATTGGATTAGCGACTGTTCTTTGTCGACAAACTGGGTGTTGCGCGCTTTTCGTGTTCCAATGAGATTTGAATTTGTATGTGTGTGTGTGTGTATATGTGCCTGATTCAGCAAAGTTAGTAATGTCATAAAAAATGCCAGTGCTAACGTTGTTTTTGTGTGCAGGGCGGCATACTGAAAACAAAAACAATAACAACAAAACACGCCACACACACACCCTTTTGTCATTTCACGATACCACACAAAGAATTCAAAACTCCCACCACTGGGAAGCAGTAGAAAGCTTCTGGGTGACTGTCTGTCTGTCGTCAGTGACATGAATGTTAGCAACCTTTTATATTCTCACTTTCAAAGTATTCCTTGGAGGATATTTTTTAGCATAGTTTTTTCGACGAATGTTAATAAGGATAATTTAATAGAATTTTAAATTTAAAAAAAAAACACGTAAAACAATTAGGTTAAACTTTATATAGCAGGTTACCCATAATATACGTTGAAAGCATTCTATATGTAATTTGTGGAAGAATACTTTTCTACAATTCGGCTTTATAGATGGACGTATTCCATATCTTACCTTATTTTCATATATAGTATTGGGCCCTCTATAGGTTTTTGGGCAGCATATAAAGGCCTCCTATAGATAGAGGTCCTTATACATATAATCGGCTTTATAGTTTGAAGGACTTGTATACCTTAATTTTTATATATAGTATAAGATCCTATATAGGACTTCGGGCACAATATATATGTTACATATAAATTATAGACGAGCACCACATATATAGACCTTCTATAAATGGAGGACCTTATAAATGTTTTTAGTAGAAAGGTAAAATTTATCTATGCTTTAAAACCTCTATACCACATTTCTCGTTCATAGTCTAAGGAATATATAGGTCTTCTATTGATAAAATACATTATATAGATCTCCTATACATAAAGGACCTTATTCAAGGGCTTCTTTTTTTTGTGTTTTTCGAGTATTCCACAATTGAAAGCCGAACATAAAAACACAACCCACTGCTATAACTTGAAGCCCAGACTCAGAATATAGAACCACACAAAGTTAAATTTTCATGGAAGTTGTGTAGGGTATCATATGGTCGGCCCGTCCGACTATACTGCTCCGCTCACTGGTATATTTATAAAATACATTATATAGATCTCGTATACATAAATTACCTTATTCAAGGCCTTCTTTCGTTTGAGTATTCTATTGAAAGCCCTAATATAGATTTATCATAAGCATAGATTTTCTACAGACAAATGATCTTATATAGATCTTCTATCATCACGACAGGCCTTCTTTAACCAAAAGGCCTGTTATTAGTCTTCTTTAGGTAACAACATTTTTAAAACAAATATTTTTAAGTATCATCGCAAGGGGTGGATTTTGTAAAATATTCTTAAGGATCCTCCTAAGGCTTGAATTTTTTAAAAACATATTTTTAAGGATCTTCCCAAGGATTGGATATAAAAATATTTTTTAAAGATCTCCCAAGGAGGGGATTTAAAAAAATATTATTAAGGATTCTCCCAAGGTATGGATTTTTGAAAAAAAAAAAACGATACCACATATATTTTTTTAAGGATCCTCGCAAGGCGTGGACACCAAGTTTCTTTAGACCACATCCTTTTCAGACAATTTGAATTCGATTTTTCAAATCTCCGTCCATCTGGATGTCGAAATTCGGTAGTATTTTTTTATAATATTCTTACGTTGTTCATTTATAGAAGCCCTTGTATAGATTCGCGATAGATAGAAGACCGTATGTAGGTCATTCACGTCTATAATTTTCCCGAAGATTAGATAATCAGTAAGGATATATGTAGTAGAGTTTTATGGAGATCTTATATATATAAGAATATCCAAATAATACCTAATCTACAGAAGATTTACAGGTCTTCTGTAGTCAAACATATCTTTTATGATAGAATACCCTATATAGATCCTCAATAGGTGCAGTAGATAAAAGACCCTCTATATAGTTTTTTCAGATAGAATTTCTATTAGAAATCTTCAAGAAATATACCTTAGACGTCTACAGATCTCCAATAGATATAACACTAAAAAAATGTGTGTATTGCCGACCACTGTAGTTGAATAAACCCTACTTTAATTCATCCTTCAAATTCGAATAAATGAGGTGACTCATAAAAAATCGCAACTCCATAACATGCATGAATTTCCATTGGGGTTAGTAGGTATTAAGGTTCCATATTCCCTTCTCTCCCTGAAACTGATGTCTGCAATGACATTTTATGATTATTTGCAATATATTAACGCCATTACAAATCACATTAATTCACCATAGACTATTCAAGATAAAGAGAGCGCCATAAAGGGTACATTACCCAATGTAAAGTGGGATGGTGGTTACCCTTTTTTTCTAATGTGAATGTGAACTGACGATTTAGCTTGGTATGATTTCATAAGGAAAAAAAATTGTGCGATTGTGATAATCGTATTGGTGGGTGACTGGCCGGCTATACAGAAGTATGCGCAATTCAAGATTTAAATGACGTCAGAAAATTTCTTTTGTTATTGTTTTTTTTTGTTCTAGGCCATAAGAAGTCAAAGGATTTGGTGGTGGGAAAAAAATCGGAATTATGTGTAATCAAATGTTCAAAAAGAACATATGTAGATATTCAGAATATAAAAATGTCGAATTTGGATTTATATTGGACATAAATATGTTAAAAATATGCCCGCCTATAGGACTTATGTTCCTAAAAAAAGTTTTTTTTTAAACAGGCCTATAGGTCGGCAGTTGTAAAAAAATATTTTTTAAATACCACGCCTACAAGACTACACGTCCTATAAAAATAGATTAAAAATATCCTCGCTTCTACGTTTTCTGTTTTTTTTATTCTACACCTACAGGACTGTTGCTCTTTTAAAATAGTAAAAAAATGCACCCATATATGCCTGCAGTTTTAAGCGTTCTCATTTCACATAAAAACTGATATGTTCAAAAATTTAATTCTCCCAAATATACCTCCCTTCATCTCTTGCAGTATTGCTCAATAGCATTATCTCCCAATTCAAGGGAAAAATAAAAACCTATTTCCTACTTACATGTATAACGGCGGCATTCTCCTCTGTCTTCACGCCATCCATTTCCATGCGGTTGCGTGACGCTGCTGCTGCCTTGGCCTGTTGATAATCAATATCACCGGTCTGCAGACGTTTACTTTCAGCCAAATTACTGGTGGCCTGTTCCGAACTGAAACCATCGGTAATGACTTTTGTTTTCGATTCGGTTTTTGTACGTTTCTCTTCGAATTTGACGGTATCGACGAGAGTGCCCTTGGAGCCACTCAAACCATTTGTGGACAGTTGATTTGAGGCTTTGACCAAATCCATATTTAGATTCATGTCATTGTCATCACTGTCATCGGGAAATGTAATACTGGGTTCGGTATTACCATCCACAATGTTCTCCAATGAGGAACGTATCCTGTAATAATAGAAATATATGAGTATTTTTGCTTATAAGGATCCTGAGTTTTTTTTTTAAATTCTCTACTCACTTTTTCTTAAGCTTATTTATGGCATCTGCACTATTTAGGGAATTGAGATCGTTGATGGAGGGTGGCTGATGATGACTTAGGGTTCCCGTGGAACCACTTAAGGCGGGTGATGCATTTCGGCCCAGGGCCAAATCATTGATTTCCGACATGGAATTCTTAAATTCGCTCATATCACGTTTCAATGCGGCTGCTTTCATTTCTGTGGAGGTCGATGATGATGACGAGGACGATGATGAGGTTATGTGATGTAGGCGTGATTTCTTTTCGACACGTGTGGTTGTACTACTACTGCTGCTACTGTTAACGACCTGTAAATAAGCGAAATTCAAAAAAATAGGCAAAGTCATTAGTTAGTAAAGGTTGTAGTAACAGGTATTTGCAATAAGAAAAACGAAGTAGATAGTGAGAGATTAGAGGCACCTTAATTGTCGTATACCTGTTATAGTTATTTACTAATAGTTTTGGTTTCTACCTGCTAACAGTTTCTACATCTATACTGCGGTTTTGTAGAAGTATTATGCATTTTTAAAAATAATTGTGTGCAAAGTGAATATAAAAAAGAATTTTGAAAATCAGCACCAAATATGTGCGAAAAATATATTAATGGAGACATGGAAATCAGGGGGTGTACGAAAATAGTAAATGATACGGACATTGGTACATTTGGTAATGACTTCTACAATATCGGTACCAAAATTAGTACACTTAGTATATGGTAAATTAACTGGGTTTCAATCTTGAGCTTTGATGTGGGATCGATAAAAAAATTTAGGTTGAGGTAAAAAGTTTACGACAAGTACCAAATAGTACAGTTGTAGTACATTTGTTATTGAGTGGACAAATTGAGTAACATTTTCAATTTTTTTAATAATTGCTATTGGTGTGTAATAGGGACGTACCGCATGACATGACATTGCAAAAAAAAGCCTAATAAAGCAAAACATCTCAGAGGTACGAAACCGTACCCCATATTTAGTGCAACTAGTTTTAAATAAATAAATGGAGCTAAAATATTGAAATATGGTACGCATGTCACTGATAGAGGTTGTAGTCTGAAATTTTGTTTACGAATTGTTATTTGTATTCCACATTACAATTATAATCAAAATTCGTACTATAATTGTACGAAAAATTACATTGGCCGATATATAAATTTATAAGTATCTGAAAAGTACTAAAATGTCCTAAATTTGGTACAATTTCGTAGCTGTTATCCATTCACATACAATTTGAAATTTGGAATGCGGATTAAGATTGAGAAGTAGGGTCTATGTAAGGAAATGGTTTTGAAAGCGTGTACTCATGTGTTCGAAATAGTAATTGATGGTACTATATTTGGTAGAAAGTTAATTTGGAGGTACACATGGGCTGGAATCCTGAAATTTGAAATTAATTGGTCTGTTCCCGTACTGCAAGAATCTACTCGATTTTACTATTTTCTTCGATATCATAAAGGAAAATTCGTTATCGTAGTAAAAATAGTAGATTCTTGCAGTACGGGAACAGACCAAATGTTATCATCGGAGTGTAGGATTGGGATATGTACGAAGTTTGGCAAATTTTTTAAATAAATGTACGAAACGTACTTGATACAATTTGGATTTGGGTAAACCGATAGAGCTGGGATCCTGAAAGTTGGAGTTAGGAGGATTTGAAAATTTGGGTGAAATTTGTACTAAATGGTACCAAATGTAAATTTGGGTGAACCGATTGAGCTGGAATCTTCAAATTTGACCTTAGGATCGCTGTTGGGGTGTAGGATTGGGCTTTGTAGAAAGTTTTGGAAGTTTTAACTAAAGCGTATTAAATTTGGTACAAATTCAATTTTCGTAAACCAATCTAAAATGTGGAGTTAGTGTAGCGTTGAGACATGTAGAAAGTTTTGCAAATTTGTACTAATGTGTACCAAATGTGTATCCGGGTGAACCGATAGAGATGGAACACTGAAATTTGGAAAAAAAAGTTACGGTTGGTGTGTATGATTGGGGTATGGATACAAAGTCATTCCCAAGGATAATAAATTGTACTAAATTTGGTAAAATTTAGTACAATTTTGGGTGAACTCATAGAGCTGGGATTCTGAAATTTGGAGTTAGGATCATTGTTGGGGTGTGGGATTGGGGTATGTAGGAAGATTTGGAAATTTGTATTAAATACGAGGGCAGTTCGGAAAGTTCTTAGCCTAACACGAATGGAATAATTAGAAATGCGTGCTTTCATTGTAAAAAAATTGCGGATGCGTCTTTTTTGGACACCTGTGTCTATATGAAGGGGTTTGCCAGATCGAAACAAAATTTAACATTTGTTCATAACAGAGATAGAAGTTTCCAAAACACAAAACTTTTTTCTGTTTATACCACGCTTTTGGTTCTAGGGAGTTTAGGAAATGTCCACTAATATGTACTAAATGACTCTAAACTTTGGATTTGGGTGAACCTATATTTGAAATTCGCATTTTTGTTAAATAAGTATTGCAAGAGTACAAAAAGGGTAATAAATTATATCAAATTTAGTATAGAGCTAGATTTCTGCTTCGGACAGAATTGGTGTGTAGAGTTGAGATATGGAGATACTTTTGGAAAAACGTACTATTAGAGAACATAGTAAAATTTTAACTATGGTCGGTATTGGTTTTTAAATAATTCCCACATTCGTTAACGAAGTAGCGGGCAAATGACTGACTGATCATCAACGCCCTGACGAAACGGCTAAAGCTAGAAACTTGAAATTTGGCATGAAGGATGGGTTTGGTGCGGAGGCGTGTGATAAGGCGGGGTTTTTGGAAATTCGTACTAAAAGGTACTAAAAATTGCTTTACGCCGGAACGTTTCGATATAGAAGTAGAACTTTGAAATTTAGTATGCAGCTTTGTAAATGATAAGGGAATCAGAATGTGTGGACAAATTTTGGAAATTAGTACTAAAAGTATTAAAAAGTACTAAATATGATAGTACGATAGAATAGGCAGGGATAGATATCTAAAATTTGGTATGTAACTTAAACTATTACAAACAGAATGATGGGCAAACATATTTTTTGGAAATTGGTACTAAAATGTACTAAAAAGTTGTAAATATTATATTGCAATATAAACTATACAGATAAAAATTTGAAACTTCGCATATAGATTCAACTATTACAAATAAAATGCTATGCATATAATTTTTTAGAAATTAGTACTAAAGTGGTGATAAAAAGTACTAAATAATATAATGCAATGAAACAGGTAGAAATAGGAATCTGAAATATAGAATGCAGCTTACTCTATTACAAATAGAATGCTGTGCATATATTTTTTAATTGGTACTAAAATTTACTAAATACTGTAGTATAATAGAATCGGACGAAATAGAAATCTGAAACGCGGTACGTAGATTTAACTATTACAAATACTATGGTGGTGGATGATTGTCTCAATATGATATAGTCTCAAATATGATAATCTCCTCATTTGATATGCCATTTCTCATTATTCAAATATTTGACAATATGTAGAAAATATGCAAGCCAATATTTTATTTCCTTGTAGGACTACTCAATTTTTGAAAATTTGCCTATAAACTGATATTGATTTAGTGAGAACATAAAGAAATGGGGCCAAATTGGCATAACGATATTTGATACAAAAAAGGCGAAAAAAACAATTGTTCTCAATATTTGTTTTTAATAAATAAATTATTAATATTTCTCATTTCGCTGCTCATTAAATAATTTTGCAAAAACAAAAAAATCACACATAAACAAAACAGAAATGAAACAAATGATTTATATTCATTTTTTCTGTTTGTTTATTTCGCTTTTTGTTATTGTTGCTCTCTTTCTCACTTTTTCGTTATGTGTTTATAGATTTTTGCCGCCTATCATTGGTTCTGATTATTATTTTATTTCTGTTATCAGTTTCATTATTGAATCCGACCCGTAGACAATTAATGTTCATATCCCTGGTTTGTTAATGCCAAAATGATGAATGAAGGCCCTTGTTATTAAGAAAAAATTATTATTTGTATTTGTTTGTCCCGCCACACGTATTTTTTGAGACAAATTTTTAACAAATTTTTGTTTTGAAAATTTATCGTTAATTTTATTTTGTTCTAAATATAGACAATTTCTAAATATAAATTCAAATGAACTTAAATGATATGTGTTGAAGGATTTATTAGTAAACAAATTGCACTCAAGTTCCTAGAAAAATAATCAAATACAGTCGAAATATCTTTAAAACACACACACTTTTGAACGATGAAATTCAAAAGTTCCCAAAAAAGTTCTGCTATTTTCTTATTATTAATAATAACGACAATCGATAAAAGCAAACAATTTCGCCGGTGTAATGTGTAATACCAACATTAATCATAATTTTGTTTATACTACACCTTTTTCATATGTTATTCAAAACATATCAAATGTAATTCGAGAATTCCATTTGTATTTCCCAACATACAATTTGAAATTTGAAATTGAAATTTGAAATTTAAATAATTCCATTTGAAATTCTTAACATTTGATTTGAAATACATAACATTCCATTTCTTTTTCATAACATTTAATTTTAAATTCGAAAAATATTATTGGTAACACAAAAGGAATATGTATGAATTTGAAATGAATTGTTATGAATTACAACTGAAATTTTATGAATTACAAGTGAAATGTAATGAATTTCAAATTGGATTCTTTGAATTTCAAATGGATTTCTTTGAATTTGAAATGAAACTCTACGAAATTCAAATTGAAATATTCGAATTACGAATGAAATTTTTTAAATTTCAAATGTAATTTTTTGAATTTCATACGAAAAGTTTAAAATTACAAATGAAATGTTGTGAATTACAAATTACATACTCGAATTACAAGTGAAATGTTATTAATTGCAAATTGAGTTTTCGAATTACAAATGAAATTCTCGAATTGCAATTGAAATGTTTTGAATAACATTTGAAAAAGGTGTATGCGTTTAGATATTTTTACCTTCTATAGGTAGAACTGCTTAAAATTATACAACGGAGACCTCCCATTTTAAATCCGACAGTCGTTTAAATATTTTTGAAAATAAATTGTTCATTTGTTTCCGCACAGTTAATAAGATGTATGCATTTGTGAAATAGAAAAACAACATTGAATATTTTTTTTTAAATTATTATTATAAAAACATTATTATTGTACAAATAAAATTTGTTTTTATAATAGGTAAATGATCTCTGCATTACCATCCTATGTGGGTGGATTGTTCGATTGTTTTGCTTTGTTTAATAAAGAACAATTTATTTTTAAATATTAACCACCAACTATAATGTACTCGTACAATAAT